ACCACGGTGCGGTTGCATAAGAGTCACGTCACGCTCGGCTCACGGCTCCTGCACGGTGTTTGTTTTCAAACCAGCCCGGTCATGCCGATGCGTATTTATGGGCCGCTACGTACTCGATTCAGAGCTGTCAGCGCCACGTCACCCTCCGACCCCCACCGGAGAGAAAAATAAAGGGGAAGAGAAGTGCTATGTGAGGAGAGTGTTCTGCTCCTACTGATCCTAAACTCATCCTTAATACATCAGAATCTCTTTTCTGAACGCCGGATCAGAGCCACATGCTGCTGGGGGACCCTAAAGAAACTAAATCTGCATCTCTGACAGGCAGCCATTGATTAGTGGGCTAGATGGAAAAGCAAGGAGATGTAAAGCATTCTTCTCACAGCCTGGCAAAGGTCGAGATTCACACAGACACCAGCAGCGCTCAGGTGGCATTGATCAAAACGGACGGCGATGGATGTGAAGCTGGAAGCCTCACAATAAGTGTGTCCTTCGTAGCGCGCGCGCTGTACAATGTGCCTCTCTGCAGCGTGCGTCATCGCGCGGCTCGATCCGTCCGTCCGTCACACAGAGCCTCACCTACGGGAAACATTGTCGAGAAGCTGAGAAGGTTGGAAGTTCAACCCCCACACGCTTCACAATGGGATTCAACCCGTGCCACCGCTTTCCGCTTCACCTTCACTGTGCACTGCTTCTCTTTTTTTCCAGAGTGAACCCGTCGACCTTTCAAGTCGAGGGGGTGGGTGGGGAGGGGGGGCGGGCTCATCCCGGGCCTCCGGCGGGCTGATGTTTGATGTCTGACGGGCACTTGCACGTCTCCAGTGATACCTGCCGCTCTGACGTAAAGCGACAACTTGACGATCCGACAGTAGATTCGGTGTTTCAGCGCCTCCTGACCTGGAAGCCGTAAGAACACGTTTCTCCGAGCTTCACGTGTGCTGCTTTGGCGATAACGTGCTTCGGCAGCCTCGTTTTTTAACTCTCCTTGCTGCACGGGTGTGTGCGGGCACGAGGAGGGCAGCTGGGTGCCGGATGAGAGCGGTAATTAGGCCGCTGTACACCGGGCTTTGGTTACAGGTGCAGAACTGCCTGCGGGGACGAACAAAGCTGTCAATGCAAAAGATCATTCATGCTGGAACAACAGGAAAGGAGGGAGGGAGGAGGGGGGGGGAGGTTTGCTTCGGCTACAGAGAGACAAGACAAATGGCTCTGAGTGGCATTGCGACATGCCCAAAGCAGGCGTACAAATCATGTCTTTCAGGTCGTTTTAAGAGCAAAACGAGCCTTCGATTTGAGCTGGAGAGCCTCTGCTTGGATAGAGCCGACACAAGCCTCCTTCAGGCCCACTGGACGGCCCGCCGATACTATTGTTTCTGTAATCACAAGCTTTGAATCAGACAAAGGGGGCTTCCAGTGGGATGCTCGCTCTCAGTGGAGCGCCGTGATTTTCGACGCGATGCTGAAGAATCTCAGAGAGGATTTTAACTGAGTTGGCCCAGAAGGAGGCTGCTGGTTCAATATTGGACCACTGCCTGGTTGAATGCACACTGTAGGAAACGTTCTCTCCCTTTCAAGTGACTTTGATTCTATTTTTGCTCTCGTACTCGGCTGCATATTCTCTCTGAAGTATCTTTAGTATTCTGTCTTTGCAAAACAGCCTGTTAATCTCAGTGGCTAAGTGCATGTAGCATCTGTACTTCACACCGGAGAAAGAGGTGTAAGCCTTATTTCAGGTATGAGAGAAGTAGAGGATGGCCTGAAGCATGTACACACCTCCGTCCAACTGCATGCTTCCAGCTCCCGTGTCGGCGGTTTGCTGAAGGCCCTTTCCTGTTTCAACGTGTCTCTGCTGCTGTGAACACATCCAGGTCCGTGCAGAAACGACTTCACATCTCGGGGGAGGAGGAGGTGACTGACCTGCACGAAGGAGCCAGCCCAGCACCCGAAATCAGCGTTGGTCCTAAAATGATGTTGATGCTACAGGTTGTGTTGAAATGCACAATGGTTCAGTGCGTCAAAGCAGGACGTTTGACCACTGGAGGTCGGATAAATACAATTCTGTGACCGTAATTAATGTGGATGAGTATTTCTAAAGACGTTTAAAAGGACCTTTCTGAAAGCTGCAGCAGCAGAGGGCGCGACGGCTGCATCCTTCCATGCATCATTCATGCTTGCATCTTAAAGCGTCCACCTGTCCTTGCTGTTGTCCTGTCACACACACACACACACGTTGCAACTACAAACGTTTAGACCCAGTTTTAAAAGTATTTACATCCTTTGTTGCGCTGCAATGCACTCTGCAAGTAACCTGCTTTTTGTTAAAAGCACTTTGTCGATAAATTTGACTTCCCTCGACACTCAATACTGAGTCCATTAAGCCGCGGGGCTGCGGCGATGCTCTGGACGAGGGGCCACCGGTTCCAGTAAGGTATATCTGCTGAGCTCTCATTAGCAAGCATCATCATACGTAATTCTGGCACGTGTAATGCCATTAGAGGGGATTTGGCATCTGATAGTTGAGTAATGGGATTAGCTAGACGGTAAACCTCCAGGGCCAAAACCGTAGGTCTTCCCCACTCAAAGGAAGACAGACAGACGCTCCACACAAGCCGACCTTCTTTCCACATGAGCGCGACGCAAGTCATCTCTTTGTCATGGCACCAAAGTCTGTTTGCGCTTTGTTAACGACTTCTCGCAGAGAAGTGAGAGAAAAGAAGCTGTTTGTACAACGTGTTGTCAGAAGTGTTTGCGCCTGATCTGAAATCAGAGCAGGTCGTCTCTTCTCGGAGGCTTCGGCAGCGCACTCGAGGTCGTGCCAAGGGAGAGAAAACTTTAGACCCCGGCTGGATTCTCACCTCCGTGCGAGTGGCCAATCACAACGTGGAGAGGGTGCGAATACCAGAACCTCTTTGGTTCAAGAGAATTGCGGTTAATATGAATCGTCCTTTGGTGTTTTTGCTCCTCATTCTGCGGTGCGTCTCTCAACGTCCGGAGGAATGCAAACCGGTGGAGTCTCTGGGCAGATAGCGCAGCATCTTCTGCCTTCAACTCAGCCTTTGTGTGCAGTTCACATTTCTTGTTTACAGGTATACACGGTGACGCAAGAAGTAATATCCATCACTTTGTTTTCTTCACCATGACATTCACAGAATGTACAGTGTGCTACTTTAATACGACTGAGCTTGACTTTTTCTTTTGCTGAGTACTTCACAAGTGGAAGGCTTCTTCCCTCCGGCAACACAAAGACTAAAATGAGGCTTTGACTTAAAACACAAATAATGTACCTGCGTCTCTGCAGCTGGTACGGTGTCAGTGACCTCGCAGTACACAAAGAGAAGGAAGCCAGAGGAGAAGCGAGCGTCGTGCTGGATGGTGGTGGGGTTCAGCTCGTGTTGACCGTCGGTCGGTTGATTAAAGCGGGCGCACGCTGCACATTTCAGGGACGTCTGGGACATTTAGAGAAATATTTCATGGCTCGTTTTTGTTTCCTGAGAAATGAATTTGTAACGACTGTTTAGTGACTGTGCGGAATATGATTTCATGTGGGCGTGTTATTGTTTGTTCTTTCTCAAACTGAAATTCTAAACTGGCAAACTGCAGATTAGATTTTCTTTCTTTTGCATCTGCAGAGAGTTTAGTGTAATGCAACATGGGACAGTTCAGAGGGAATCTTGGGACCATGTTCGATAATAAAGAACAATCAGTAGGGTAACAACGTGCACAGGAACCGAACCCCTCACGGACGAAAGCCAACACACCGATATAGAACAGGTGACTCAGCTTCCAGCTTGGCAGAGAAATCCCCCGAGACCTTTGACCTCCTAATCGTTCAGCAGCTCTTATGGTTGGAGATCTGCTCCAGGCTATTAGAGAGATTAGTGTCACACAGATTTGGGAGTGGGCCAAGCCTATATCTGTACTTCAGGGTATTCACAGCATTTATTACTGAGCACCCATCCCATGTTGAAACCTTTGTCCGAATAATAGCACAGAATGCAAAGTCCGGCCAAATATTACGAATAACCTATTGATTAATTGAAGATAGAAGGCATTTTCTGAAAAAATAACATTACTATGATTGACTATGGGTGCAGGATCTGATTAAAAAAAATAGATAAATGCTTGTTAATATATTACATCTGTACACATACACACCGATTGTAGGCTGCAATATAATTGTATTTTTTGCAAATACTTACAGTAGCCTACATGGTTAACATCTTTTTTTGGTTATTGCGTAAAGATGACCGCCCCTCTTTTCAAGCAAACAGCACAAGCCAAGGTACAAAACGAGCACCCCTCCCGAATAAAAACAATCCCTAGCTCGTAAAACTGTTTCCCTCAAGCTGAATAAAGTGTGTTAAACTGATGCCGGAAATGAGTAATTGTGGCTTCAGAATAATGGTGAATAAAATGTAAACATTGAATATGCGCAACACAAACTACATATTTCATTCATGTAGTCTAGTGAATAAAATAGTTGAGTGAATTTAAAAAATAAAATTGCTAGCACCACTCTGAGCCCGTTTCATACTATCAGGAACCGCCACAATTTGCTTTCAAGCCACCATTATATAACTATAATGTAGACTAAAACAAGGGATGATGTAAATTTGAGCGCAGCACCTTACCGTTAGGTAACATTGCAGGACAACACCGAAGCACAGCATATTTTTAGATGGCAATGTAGTCTGGACATTCACTTATTTGTCCTAAAGGTGGACTGTGAGCACTGTAACATGTGTTACTCTCAAACAGCAATATCTGTCATATCCTGTAAAAAAGATGGAAAATGGAATGAGCTCCACTTCACCTCTATAACAAGTCTCACATAGTCAAAAATAGACAACGCGCATATTAAGGCAATGATGGGTTGTGCTGTTCTTGTCGAACAGTATGTCTCATCACGCGTTCCATTTCACATTTTATTTTGAAGTCCCTTAACGGAAGCTTTGCGTGTGCGCTCGGCCACCTCGACGCGGGTGCTGTGACGCCATCTTGAAATTGTCCCGACCAGAGGAGCCGAGGAGGAGAAGGACCTGGGGGGGGGAAAGCAGCTCGTCCTGAACCCGATAGCCCCATTAGCTACACGGATTAACGCAGCTTTGCGGGCTATTGCTAACACACGAGAGCGTTTCCACTTGTTCCTTCGAGTAATTTTCGTCGGGGGGTAAGGTTGTTTGGCCCACTTTGGAGAGGTCTAACGCGGCGGAGGGAAGCTTCGTTAACGGTTGTTTCCCCCGTTGGAGCGGACGGAGCTCCGGTTGTGGCCGCCGGAAGGAGCCGGAGCTTCCACACGGATTATAACAACAACAACAGAATAATACACGCTTTGAACATTGCTTTTTCTCCTTTTGGGATATTTTAAAAGCAACATGTCGAGTTATTTTTCTTTTTTCTGAAGCTATGCGACCGGAGCTTCGTCGAGGAGAAGTTTGATCGGAGAGCGGTGTGCGCTGGATTTGCTGTCCGATGGATGTTAGCCCCGTCCGGCCGTGGCTCCGCTCTGAAACCAGCCGGTGAAACGTCCTCAGGCTCCGGTGAAACGCGTCCGTTCGATGCTCAATGTGACAATGCTGCAGACATGGCAAGTGCATGACGGCCGCGGCTTCGGTGCCAACACGTCGCCCTCCATCGCCCGCCTGTAAACCTGGAAATACCTCCAACCAGCCCCTCCATCTTCTCCACCCCCCTTCTGTTGCTTTTTTTTGGGGAGGGGGGACAAGGAAGGCTTGCTGGGATATTTTGGATCTAGACTCGTTATTGACATTTTTGCAAACGTCCTTTTTGCTCTCCGCGAGACATTTGATTTAACTCTTTGAGTGTGAGATATTTTTTAGTTGGTGTTGCTTTATTCTCTTTCCAGTCAGAGGATCTATTCGGATGGAAAATGGGAGACGCCACCAAACTGGCCTTCGCCGTTTTCCTCATCTCCTGTTCTTCAGGTGGGTGGAGGGGGGGCTTGTTATCTGTGGAGCATGCAAGATGGGGAAATACCCCTCTGCTGCTTTCTCCACCTTTTTTTAGGATGCAGATTCCAGTAGTGAGTGAATGCGGGTCCTTGATTGGCTTCTTGTGCAGCACAAATTGGGGTTTTAAACCTGATTACATTGAGAACAGAAACACTTCTACCTCCAACTTGCAGTAGACACATTAATTAAAGTTCATTCAGATTGGGCCGATAAGAGGATTTGATGAAGCTGGAGCATCATAACATCTAATAATACGTAATAATAAATCTATTATCTTCACTAATACAACATAGTGGCTTAATGTCTTGGGAATCTAGCTCAGCAGGTGTAACCATTTTTAAAATTTAAACTGCACATTCAGGTATTGCAGTGTCGAATCTCTTTGCAGCAGTGCAATTTTCCGTCATGCTGGAAGTATATTCTCTTTATGTGTTTCATTTCCCGGTGGTGGATGCATAATGAATGCCAGCGGGGTCCGTAATGATAAGCTAAAAAGAACCGGCCCACCAGCACATATCTTCATGCTGAAAGACGTGTGATGAGTTTTTACCACACTGGATACTTTGAGTTTGACGCTTCGAATGTTGAAAGTTGAACTGTTGCGACTCCCCAAATGACCAGGACGGGTCGGGTGACGTGCAGGACCGGGCAGGGTTCCCCTCCTGGGTCAGCTAGGTCCAAACGCAGGAGGGAAACTGAGACGTGTCAGAACACCTGAACCCGCCGTGATGTTTATCCATCACGTGGCTGAAAGGTGACGAATAGTAAAGCCGTGCTTTCAGCTCCCATTTAATCGTGTAACGCCCTAAAAGAGCCGCGATACTTTCACTTTTCGCGTTCTGTTGGATTCGATTGGATTGTTATTGACGGGGCTTAAAATAACACGTTGTAGGTGTTTACAATGAAACAAAACTAGGTTTTTCTTCCCCCCCATATATTCCTATACATCATGATTTATTATGTGTGCAACAGTGGCTTACGGTAATAGCTTGGATTGGCAGGAGTGGCACCAGGTGCTGCCTTTATTGCGCCGCGCAGCAGGTGATTATTCCACTCGCTCATTACCGTGTGAAGTGGGTAAATGGGTAAATGAATGGTGCCTACTCGAGCTGGAATGATAATCTTCAGAAACCTCTGATAGTGGCAGAGTGGTTTCATTTAATGATGGCTGTGGATTTTTATTCAAAGACACTTTTATTTTAGTTGTTGTTCAAGTTAAACTGTGGCGTATGCCGGTTACATTTCATTAGACGGGGCGTGATGACAGTGAGAGTTTTTACACTTTAAAATGATGTGACGGCCAACCTAAACCTCCTGTCAATTGATGCGCAATGAATAAGCTACAATTATAATTGACGATTAGCAATTGTTTGCACCAGATTGCTGGTTTCATCTCCTTATATGTGAAGGCTTCTGGTCGATATACCTTTGCGTTCTGCTCGCTGTGAACTTGTTTTGGAGACCTGATAATCAGAAATTGTCACTTGTAGTTAGTGCTCTGCGCGATTAAAGATTAAAATCTTCCATCTAGCTCTTCAAATGAAGCGTGGCATTTTTTATGACACCGTCACCCTAAAAAAATACATGGTTTACATAGTGTTTGTATACACGCAAAGTCGGTACAGTATGTACTCATGAATGACTCACGTTATGAACCATCATAAATAACTCTACATGCTGAGGTTCCTCCTCAGCTGCTTTCTGGATATTTCTGAATATCCAAAGCTGTCTAATTCAGCCTCAAAACCAGACGACTTGCTTTTGTAATATGCTCTTATTTTTGGACGTGTGTGTGCGCCTGGGTGTGACGTTTGACCTGGTTTAAGGTTGCATCCAACAGCTGCCCAGTGTTTTGATCCCTGCTGGCATGTGTAAATGCTGCTGTAACACATGGCGGCTCAAGGTTGTCCGCCAAAGTACTAATGTGACACCCTACTAAACGGGCTTCTTGTGTAAGCTCTGTTGCTTTGGTGGTTGGGTTAAAAAGTCTCTTCTGCTGAACAGGAAAGTGACATTTTACCTCCAGGGAGGATGTTGGACCCGATGTCATGTGAGCTTCAACTGCAAACATGTAAATATATTAATGTGCTGCGTCATCATTTATGGGACGTCAGATTTAATGTGGCGCAGATACACCTACCTGTTTTTAGCCTTTGCTGCACCAAATGACGGCTATCACTCATATCTATGACCGGGTCGGTTATTCCCGCTGGGAGATGTTGTGTTTATTTGACCCTGTGACCACCTCATTGGTCCCACGTTAATGCGCACGAATGTGTCCACGGTGACCTTTTGTCTTCCTCCAGCTGTAGAGACGAATTTCTGCATGCGTCCACCACCGGGACCAGTCAAGTCCACGCTATGTCTTCACATCTGGCCTCCTTTCTTTTGTGCTCTGCAGCAGTTTCACGCAGACATCGACCCCGGTGCACACCGGTATAAGGTTGCAGCAACGTGCCGAGGGTTTTCAATCCTCAGCTGCACAACTGAGCCGACGATCTGGTTTCACTTGATTCCGACTTCCGGTGATCTGAGAGACCCAACGTGTACCAGTTGCATTAACTGGGCCCAGTTGGTTGACGCCCCTGCCAGCAGATTAGAGCCGCAGTCATCAAATGGTGCCAGCTGCCCAAGTGTTTTGCCGCTGACCTCTGACCTTTTTGTAGTGCAGTGAAAGAGATTACGAGGTCTTTTCCTCCTGCATGCCGTTCATTATCTGATTATTTTCATGACCGTGTTGTACTATTATTACTGTACATATCCGTCCTCTGCTTTGGGAGAATTGATTGATGTGTTTTGTTGGAATTTTGTCAATTTTACTATTTGAGTAGAATTCAAGTGCAATATAGTTTTCTTTCTTTATGTGTCCTGAATAAAACCCCAACTGGGTTATTCTTTGTCCATTGGAACCATTTGGATCATGTGCTGCAGTGTTCTGGTGTTTGCTACCAGCTCTGTTCTATTTGCCCCCCCCCCCCCCACCCACCTCTTTTCTTACCTAATATGATCCCATGCATTATGCATTAGGCTCCGCACGCACAGGTGTATTTTTTAAGGCCAGATGTAGCCTTGAATTTCCCAGCGGGCCCAACTAGTCTGACTGCGTCCTTCCATGGCCGTGTATCATCCTGTGCCTTAACATCATAAAAACAAAGGGCTGCACTAGCTCATGTTCACTGAGGTAAAATGGTGACCAGATCAGGGCAGGGGAATTATGGCCCTCCTATATTTAGACCGAGGCCAGGTGTTTTGTGCCCTATGGACTTCACTCTTGTTGCATCCGGGCAGTGGAACAAGAGCTTTGTATAGATATGTTGTTGTTTTTTTTACATTTTTTATAAGGCAGTCAATAATAATCTCCACAGAAAAGGACTTTGGATTTTGCCATCGGCCCACAGCGGTGAGCCAAAGCTTTCACTTTTTGATCAATGCAGTTGCCTTAATCTCCATTATTTTGCACGAGACCGGCTTTAATGAAACTACATCACACACAAGTGCAGGCGACCTTTGGAGATCACATTTCTCTGTTTGCTCACGTGTGGGCGTCGTTTCTTCGATCACTGAACTATGTTGAAAATATCGTCTGTCAGATGAATGGCAGGTGACCTTTTTTTAAGCATTTAAAAAAAAAAAAAGACACAATGATGCATGAACCAGTTTCAAAGCCCTGAGGCCTCTGAAAACACACTCATCACATAAATTACCATCCAACTCTCACTCCAATTAAGAATCATCCAAACACCACAATTGCCTTCTTCAGCTGCAGCGACTTGTTTGGACCTGCTCCGGGTTTTGTGCACAGGACCACATATGGGAAGAGGAAACTAGTCTCCGATGCTCCACACAGATTTCTAACAGCCGCGATCTATGGACTAAAATACCTCCTCAGCCTCCACCTCCTCGCAGGAAGCGGAGGGGCCGGCTGGAGCAACGTCGTTCATCCCTACTGTTCGAGCCTAAGATGTAAACACAAACCGAGCGCAGCACAATAACGTGAAGAATTAGTAGTCAAAGTGAAACAAAATATGGGGAGGAGAGTCTGCAGATTTACTAAATTTCCTTTTGGATAGAAGCGCTCACATACAGGGGACTATTTTATCTCCGTCTAGAGCGCTTGGTGTGTCGGTCCCCACCGGTCCTTTACTGTAATTAATGTGTCCTGCAGATGTTGCCTTTATGTGCTCCGGAGCGTCTCGGTCTAGACAGGCTGGCTGCTCTGCTTTTGATCCTTGATTAAAAACCACGAGCTGTACATTCATCTCTCTCTATCTCGAGGGTCTTTGGCCGCTTCACGCTCCCTCCTTCTTACCCCTCGTCCGTCTCCTGCCAAGATTCCTCACTGTCACGAAGGTCGCCCTGGCTCCTTATCACCAGACCCACTAAAGGGTAATGGTGTCTCTGGCGCTCGGCGGCTCCTGATGCTCCTGATATCGGCGGTCTGTTATCCGGCCGCCATTGTTGCTATCGCTTTGTGTTACTATCTGATGAACCTTAAATGTCATTTAGGATGCGTCGAGCTCTATGAAGTGCGATACACATCAACGCGGCCCTGCGATCAACATAAATACCACATCTGATTCGCGGTAAAACAGCTGTGGCTCTTGTAGTTTACTTCAGTCTTAACTCTTCTTCTTCACGAGCAGCATTGATGGTAAAGTGACTTTTGAAACCTCAGCAGTTCCTGTAGTCAGTCATCAATGGTATTGACAACCCCCGCTCTAATCCCTGCAGATGTGTTTTGTGGTTATTCCGTGCTTCGGGCGGAGTGAAGACCTGCAATCCAATCTCGATTCTAAATCCAAGTGTTGGTGTTTTATTTTTGGCTGCGGGCCTCGTGACCAGCGTGTGTCGCTGGCTAACACTAAATATAAAGGCGAGTCAGCGAGGTCGTCTGAAGAGGGGCTTATCGACTCGCTGCGTTTATTAGCTTGTCTTCAGCAAATGTGAAGCCGCCGAGCGCAAACAGTCAATAA